CTCTCATCTTTTTAAGTGGGAGAACTTGCACAATTCCCCACTGTATGTATGTATGTATGTCTGTATGTATGTATGTATGTATGTATATATATATATATATAATTATAGTGGATTATTTTCCTCTCAGGGAGTACACAAGACTATATAAAAAAACATTTTTTACACAATGTCATACACAAATGTATTACCAAAAAAGATGGTAAATCAAATCAATTTATAAAACTTCATTTATTTATTTATTAATAAAACATTTTAATGTCAGCAGCTATCTTTATGGTGAAAACGGAATAATTAATTCATACAATTAACAAAAAGCTATAAAAGACATTTAAGTTTAATACTAGACAGAAGCAATCTAAAATACAATCAGGCGATACTTTTTAAAATAAATCAATCAGTTAAATATCTCTGAATAAAATCGTTGTCTGTTTGTTTAAACAAAATGTACAGTCCAACAAAAAATGTTTAACAGTCATGTAGTTTGACAAGGAAGGCATAATGGTGGTGGTTCACCTTTTAATAAATAACTATGTATGATGCGTCCTAAGCTGCACCTAGTATAGGGCTGGGTAAAAAAATAGAGATTTCTTTTTTTACGGAACGATATAGATTCTTAAATCCCAAGAATCGATTAGTCTAGTCTGTTTTCAGTTAATGGACGGAACATTGAAGGACACTTCCCATCCAATAAATCGCAATAAGCATTGGGCTTTGGTGCTTTTAATATGAAACAAAGTCCCAGGTTTCAATTCATGTCCATTGTATTGCAGTATTTAAACAATAAATGCCGTTTTGGCGGTTTAATGTGGAGTGACAGATTGCTGTAGCACCTCAGTTCAACAGACGCAGCAGCGCGTGGCGCACGTGAACTAGTCATCTCTTCCACATTAATACCAGCTTCAGCACAAAATAAACATGACTAAACGTCCAAAGGCAAGTTAAAAGAGAGTACAACTTTACAATCTGTATCCTGTCTCATGTAATCGCTCAATCAGTGTTTCAGCCACGCAAAGACGTCAATATAAACAACGTCTTGCAAACAATGTCACGTTACGTCACATTTACCTCAGAAACAAACATAGTCGGTGACCATAAACTCATTAGTCAGCCAGAAAAATAAACTGTACAGAGGGGTATTTTGCTAAATATATGCACCATATAACATTCATTATAATTTTTTACTGTTCTTATGTTTAATTCATGTTTGAATAAATCCATCAATTTTTTATGACAGCCACCATTTACATTTTTATATATAAAAAAAATTAATTGAAGTAGAAATATTATTATGGAGGGATGCTCCGATCAGGATTTTTGCAGCCGATACGGAGTACTAGTTAGGGCTGTGCGATATTGAAGAAAAATTTGATATGTGATAACTCATTAAATAATGCGATATTCGATACGATAATGCTTAAAGTGCCACAGATGAAACAGTTTTACTCCGCTGTTGCCGAGTTAGTTCTGTGAACTTCTATAACTATCTTGTGTCATATATATATGGTTATTTGTATGCATGTATGTACCAAGAGTTCCTGTAAAACCACAACAAATTCCTTGTGTTTGCACACACTTAAGTGGTGAATAAAGCCAATTCTGATTCTAATAAGAAAGCACCCCTACAACAACTTCTGAAAGTGAATGGTATGTGTTTTACTCGAGCATTACATAAAACTGTCATTTTAACATTAGTGTAATCATTTTAACATGAGTTTAGGAACTGAATAATAAAAAGGAAAAATAAAACCCCGCTTAGTATCTACGCTTTGAATTCAATATGCACGGATTCTTATTTAAGCTACAAAAGTTATTTAGGTAAGAGCAGTGAGTGATTTTCTTTTGTTCATGGCCCCAAATATTGCAAGCTGCAAGCAATATGCGATATGCATATTGCTATATGTACATTTGCGATATTTCGATAATTTCGATATATTGCACAGCCCTAGTACTAGTGGTCGACCAATATGTGTTTTTTGACAGCCGATGCCGATATCTTGGAAAGCAGGGTGGCCGATATAAAGCCGATATAATTTAATTTGAATTAATATTCAAGAAATTTGAAATCATTTGAAAATGGATTAAAAAGTAAATGTGTAAAATAAACATACTTATACTTTAGATGACAAAGTATTTTTCACAAAATTTTTTTTAATAAAAATATAATTAAAAAGGAAGTAAACACTGTAACCAACAGGGCACTCAATATTCTGGTAAGTTTGTGTGCATTGGGAATCATATTTTTTCAAATAAAGCCAAGGTAACACTCATCTTACATACAGCACACAGTGAAAATTACATGAATATGACAGTGGACAAACGCATAAAGCGCAGCATAATTTGAAATCACAAGTTTACGATCGCACGTCTTCAGTGAAGCTGAACTCTCCTCCTGGCAGCATTCAATTCACATGGACCGACGGTCACGCAGAGAACAGGCAATCATGCAGAATACAAATGCAAACTTCACGATCTCACAGCTGGACTAAGTTTGCAAGGTTTGTGAAATTAAAATGTTCATTATTCATTCAAAGATTTGTTTAAATGATATAAA